ACCGAATTTTACTGGGGGACCCCCTCGAAAGCAATTGGGCTATTTTCAGGCTAGTTTTGAGTAGTAATTGGGTGGGTTTTGTAGCGAAAACCTGGCAACCCTGCACCAGACAGAGCTGTCTGCGATTCTTCCTATTGTAAAGTAATGCAGTGTGTAACCTCCTGTCGTCGTTCCATCGTGCAGTGTGAACACAGCAACAACTGAATGCTACCCCAGATAGTCACGCAGTGTGAAACCAACAGTGATGCGACGTCTTTGAAAATCGTGCAGTGTGAACTCGGCATTAGGCTCTGGATTACGTGTAATAATGTTGTAGATGTTTAGTTTCTTGCACAGACTGATCGTTTCACTTCATAAGACCTCAATATATCATCAGGAGCCAGGGGGATTAATTTGATGGTAGCCATTAACTTGTATTTTATGAATTACCAAGGACTGCGGTTTCCGATAAAAATCTTCTTTACTGTTCTACTGAAGAAAAAAGTCACATACATCTTGAAAGGCCTGAGAGTGAGTACATTTACAGCACATTTTCATTTTTGGGTGAACTATTCCTTATGTGGACACAGTTTGTTATGTCATGTGTCAGCTGTTTTTGTCTATACAATGAAAGTTATAGCAATATTTAACAATTTATTATGAAATGTCATTTGAACCCCAAACATGTTAGTTCTGTCATCATTTACACGTCGTTCCAAACCTGTATGAAAAATTTTAAATACAATGAAACTCAAGTGGGGTCAAGACCAACCATCGACTTTCATTGTCTTGAGAAAAAAAACCTTTAATACAGGTTTCGAATGACATGTAAATGATGCCAGAATTGCATTTTTTAGGTGAACTTTCCCTTCAAAGCACATTTAATAATAAGCTGATAAGATTCACTGTCATACTTTACTTTTTGTCAGACAATCACACCCAGAGTTCATTGACGTCAATTAACATAATTCTTGGTAACGTGGGTTTTTTGTAAACTCGACGATAGCTTATTGGCCTCTGTCACAGCTTCCGATTTCATAGTGACTTCCTTTACCCCTAGAGCGACAGGAAGCCCACACCGTCCATCATCAGTTCTGGCAGAAACCATAGAGAACTGTTCATCTGTTTTCGCAAACTAGGTCAGAATCCAGCTATTGGCTAATGCATTGTGCAAATACTGGAATCAATAGTGAAGTCTTTTGTTATGAGGCACAGCAAGTCCACACATCGACCAATAATCAGGAAACAAACGAGACATCTGTAAACTTGCATTACGGACATAAAACATCACTTCTGCTCTCCCAAAAATATCATGGATTTCGCTATCAAACTAAATGCAGTTACAAAATGAGATTCTGTTCTTCAGTTTCAGTTCAGAAGTGAATCATTGCAATAATGAGTATTATAATGGTGTTACTGATGATGCTAAATGAGTTCATATGAACATGTTTCAGGTTTGGTGATGATGAAGGGGTTCTTGAGTCTCACTGAGGAGTGCATGAGACAAAAAAGGATTGGAAACACTGATCTTGGATATTTTTGCGGACACCCACAGATCCGCTGGAAGTCATGCATTTCAAAGAGCTGCACAGCAGTGCATTTCTGCCAAATTCAATATTATGCATTTCCATCCCAAAAAAAAAAAAACTACTCAGACATGTCATATCCAGAGTTGTATCTCATTTTAACTCTGCACTGTTTTTAGTTTGATGCTTTCCCAAAAAATACGCCAAGAATCTATGTCTGATCATGTCAGTGGGATTTTACACAGTAACACGACTATATATATATCTGTAAACTTGTTTAAACTTGTTTAAATTTGTATACTGTTTATATATATATATATATATATATATATATATATATGACTCTTCCGTGTGAAATATTGCAATATTTAGGCCCAGATCTGCTTCTTTAGTATACATTCGATAAATATAAATTTGGATATATGGGCATTTTTGGCCCTGTGGACTTAAACTAAACTTCTTTAGAATTAACATTTTCATACTGCAGTGTAAGCATAGGCTTGGATTTAAAATTGATTCAGTGCCATGATTGGTATAATCATATTCTGTCCTTCCAAGTTATTTTTGCTCATAACTAGAATTAGTTAAGCAAACTGTCACTGAGTCAGTTTGCCATTTCTGTTTTTGAGTCACTGATTGGCAAGAGTTCAAACCACATTCATGCACGCTACGTGCCAAACTGCAGGTCTGATATGGCAGCTATGGTCATTTTCTCTCTTGCTCTGTCTCTCTTTGTAAAAGAAGCTCAAGCATGAAGAATGAAAGCCTAATGGGGTTAAAAAGCACGCTCACTGGGTTGTTTGGGTAGATGGCCTTGAGGATTTTCATGCTTTTCCTCATCGTCCTAAGGCATAATTATGTTAATTTCACTGTTACATAAATTGCATCAAATAGAAATATCATTACTGTCCTTCCAGATTTGTCAGAAATAGTAAAAATGACATAAGTGCCACTCATTATGTAAAGTAAATTAACCATGTCACTACATTTTGCTTTATTCAGAAAGCCCTTTTTGTAATAATAATACTAAATTAATTAAAATAAAAAAAATTATACAATAGATGATTTAATATATTCACACACACACACACACACACACACATATATATATATATATATATA